GAACACTTTCATACTTGCAGAAACTATTAAAAGAATAGGGTCATGTACATTCAGGTACCCAGCACCTAGATCCAACATTGCTAACATTTTTCCATTTTTGTGTGGCAAAAACTGCACCAACAGATACATGCTTATATGGAGAAAATGGATTATGCATTCATTTTCTGAATGAATGTACATTTTCTCTATATAAACATGTATCTGTTGGTGCAGTTGAACTGTCTAAAAATACATTGCAGATACCATGACCCTTGATTCTTAAATGTAACTTTTTAAGATAAGGACACTCTTCTACCTCATCATCTTTTTCTTTCTTTTTTAAAAAAAGAGACGGGGTTTTGCTCTGTCACCCAGGCTGGAATGCAGTGGCATGATCACTGCTCACTGCAGCCTTGACCTCTTGAGCTCAAATGATCCTCCTGCCTCAGCCTCCTGAGTGGCTAGGACTACAGGTGGATGCCACCATGCCTGGCTAATTAAAAAAAATTTTTTTTTTTTTTTGTAGAGGAGGAGTCTCACTATGTTGCCCAGGCTGGTCTTGAAATCCTGGCCTTAAGCAATCCTCCTGCCTTGACCTCTCAAAGCGCTGAGATTGTAGGCATGAGCCGCTGCGCCTGGCTCCTAGTCATCTTTTGATTCATGCACAGAAAGGTGGAGTCCTGCAGCTAGAATCAGACTATGTGGATTTCAAGTCCTGCTCTGACACCAGCTGTGTGGTCTCAGAATCGTATAGCTCTCTGGGTCTTAGGTTTTGCCTCTACAATTGAGGGATTTGGACTAGATCAGTGATTCTTGATTCTGGCTACACAGTAGAATCACCTGGGAATTTTAAATTAATTGCTCTAAAGTACAGCCCAGGCACGGCCAGTTTAAAGAGCTGTGCAGATGATTCTAATATGCAGCCAGGGTAGAGGATCGTTGGACTAAGTAATCTCTGGAGATCTTTCTAGTTCTGTCTTTCTGTGGTTCTGAGTAGCAATGTGGCTTTGCTTTTGGGCCAGGCTCCCTCCTCTGCCCACCTCACAAGGCTTAATGATGTTCTTTGTGCTTGCTGCCCATAGTTCCCGGGCATGTGTGGAATGCTTCATTCGAAAACCATGATGCTGGATGGAAGCTACAGTGAGTCTGAGGCCAACAGCCTGGCTGGGTATCCCAGAAGCCATATCCTAACGGAAGAAGAAAGGCAAGACAAAATAGTGGTCCACCTGGGCCTGAGTGGTGACGCCAACGCTGCCAGAAAGAAGGGGCTTCTGAAGGGCCAGATGGGTTTTCGTATCTTCCAGAACACCCATGCCATTGACAAATACTCTAGGTTGATATTCCCTGCCTCCTACATTTTTTTCAACTTAATTTATTGGTCAGTGTTTTCCTAGGGGTTCCAAGGCTGTTCCTAGAAGAGGGCATAGACATCAAGGGGGCCTGGCCAGTCATTGACAGGTGGACTTGTTGACCACATGCCCCTCACCAGACAGAGCGGCAGCTACTGGACCACCCTGAGCAGCACTCATCTCTCAGAGGAGCCCAGGAGCCCTCCAGCTACCCTGACCCCAGACTTCATGGGGCTACTCCTTGTTCGTGCTATGTCTCATGTCACACTTCACGTCTCTCTGGGACCTTCTGTTCTTGTGTGTGAACTAGTTAACAAGAACTCCCCTCCTATAAATAAGGACTCAAATGCCTCCTAGACATTCTTAGACCCTCAGGATGTCTAGGATTCAGCTGTGGAGGGAAAAGGAAGAACTGAAGTGCAAGGTTAGGGGCATTCTGGATAGGAGATAGGAAATTAGGAACAAAAAATCCCCATAAACCTATACAACTGGATTAAGTGCCTACCTAGAAGGGAAAAGAGCTCAGATCCCAGACAGGAAATGATTTGCCTGTGGGAGTATGGCAACCCACAGGATTTTGCAATATTAGAGGAGATTATTCATTTAGCCATCCATTCAACCATTCTTTAAATATCGAGGTCCCACTGTGCATCAGGTACTGTGGAAATGAAAAAATAGAGTCTCTTTCCTTAGAGATCTTCTCTAAGCTGTGCTCATTCTACATGTGGCATGATGTACTTCTGCTCTTTCCCCTCCTTCAACCCCATTTACGCCATAGACCCATTCTGTTTGTTGTTGCTTTTACTCTTTAGCATATAAGGCAGGGTCTGGGAGACGCCAGGTCCAGAACTTTCAACTGTCCTCCTCCAGTGAAGTTACACAGATAGAGCTAATTTTGCCCAGCAATGATGCGTAGCAATGTGCATGGAGTATTGCCAGCCAGGGAAACTCACCCAAGCTCACCACGGTGTACAGTTTTTTTTACTGGGGTCGGTCATGGATTTATGGCTGATTGCCCACATGGCTGACTTTAGTCTTTTGCCCCTCCAGAGGTTGAGCTGGTACCTTGAGGTCCAGGGCACCTATCATAAATCACATTGTTGGCATAGATTACCTGGTGTGGCCCAAGGCCCCAGTAGACAAAGACCCTTCTATCTCACAGGACATTCCAAGGGCACAGAGGTTGCCTCCCAGGAGCTGGGACCAAGGCTCAAACCTTTTTTGGGGCACGGTTAGTCCTTTACTACACAG